CACAGCCCCATAAAGTCATGTGAAAAGAGCCCAGTGCCAGGCCTGGCATGGGACAGACCTGTTCTGCTCTTGTCCTCACTGTGGAAAGTCCTAGGACAAGGTCTCTTGCTCAGCCCCAGAGTGAACACAGGCTAGCTCCAGAGGCAGTTCTCAAAGTGGTTCCAACAGCTCATATTTTAGCTGTGCAATCTCACAGGTTTTATGTGTGTCTACCTGCTTCTGAGAGCTGCTGGTAAGGCAAAGTGCGACCATGGGTATCTATGAGGGTGGTAAGGGTGGGTAGGATGAGTGGGGAACCTCTTTCAGGGGCTCAGTGGGATTTATCAGTGACTGTGTCCTTGCAGACATTGCCATGGAAACAGTGTGACAACCCCTGGAACACTGACCGCTGTTTCTCCAACTACAGTATGGTCAATACCACCAACATGACCAGCGCTGTGGTGGAGTTCTGGGAGTGAGTAGGGGCTGTGGCACAGGGCAGGGAGGGCATGCCAGCTGGGTGGTGACAGGTAGCACAAAGAACTGTTGACAGGTGTGGACAGGGTAAGTAGCCAGAGAGGGAGGCAGAGTTCTTCCCCAGAGATATCCAGACCCCAAAGTTGTTGCTAGACCCTGCCTGCACCTCCAGAGAGAATGACAGATGCAGACAAAGCCAGGGTCCAGCAGGGAGAACACAGTCCTGCTTGCCCATCTCCTACCTGTACCACCATAGGTCACAGCCAGCAAGAAGTCAGAGAACACGGGCTGGGTCCTCCCACATCACTCAAAAATCAAGAAAATACCTCACAGACATAGCTACAGACTAGTCCAATGGAGACAATTCCCCAGTTGAGGCTCCCTCTACCCAGATGTGTCAAGTTGACAACTAAAGCTCTCCAGCACAGTGTGCCAGGGTGATTAGACTCAGGCAGCCCTGGACCAGCCTGCAGGAAGATACAGCCTTGCTGTGACAGGTGGAGTAGGGGAGGTGGTGGAACAGAGGAAGAGTGTGTGTAGAGACAGCAGTGGGGTTGCCAGCTACAGAGGGGGTGCTAGACAGGTCACTCTAGAGGGGCTGTGGTAAGAAACAGAGCCAGCCACAGGCCTTGGGCAGCCTCCAGGCATCTGTTTTCCAGCCTCAGAAAAGAGGGTTCTATGTGCTGCATCTCAGGCAGGAGGGGGACCACATAGTTAGATGTACTACTTAGAAGGACTCCTGTGGTTGGGTAGGGTACAGCAAAGGTGAATTGGCGGGGCGGGGGGTGTCCCTGAGAAGTCACAGTTGACACCAAGTCCTGCTGTCCTTGACCTCTTGAGCAGGCAGCACTCTTCAGTGTGACTGTCACAGCCCCACAGTCTCCATCTAAATCACAGGGTCATGGTGTCGGCAGGATTCCAGGGGAGAGTAATGGTTGGTTTTCGTGCCCTGGGCACCTCTAGTCACTCATCTCTCACTGGTCCTATGTGACTCTCTCCTCTTTCCTCTGTCCCCAGGCGCAACATGCACCAGATGACAGACGGGCTAGATAAGCCAGGGCAGATTCGCTGGCCACTGGCTATCACACTGGCCATTGCCTGGGTGCTTGTGTATTTCTGCATCTGGAAGGGTGTTGGTTGGACTGGAAAGGTAGGGATGTGCACAGAGTGGGGCCATGCAGGGCAGGGAACAGGTCTACAGGGGGAGTCGTGTCCTAGGGCAGGACCCACCCCTCCCACAGGCCATCCAACCTTGAGTTAAGCAGGTCCTTTCTACTTCCAGTGCCTAGGGTTCATTTCCAATGAACTGTGTAGACCCTGGCTTCTAGAGCCGCTATGAAGACTGCAGGGAATGAGCAGGCCAGTACCTGGCTCACAAAGGCCCATGGGATACCACTGAGCCTGACAGAGCCGTCTCCACATGCAGGTGTTGCTCTAGGGCACCCAACCAGCTTTCCCTAAGTACCTGTTCTGTGCCACCCTGGGTTCAGCACGAAGGTCCAGATATGCCACCTTCTATCCTGCTCCGTGAATGGAGGGATGAATGGTTAGAGACAAGGAGCCCCAAGTCCAGATCAACATGACTGCTGGTTGGCTCTGAAGATAACTCAGAGCCCAACCCATGCTCATCCCCTATGGAACCACATCAGACTCAAGAGACAGCCAGGGTCACTAAACTTGAACATGGCTAGGGAGCCAAGAAGTGCAGTCACACACATGAATTTTCTGGTGATCAGTCTGACAGAAGGCAGTGTTTAATCTTACTCTGCTTGGCTCGGAGGCCACTGTGTCCTTCTGGCTACAGCTCTGTTTCCTGGAGGCACTTAGACAATGTAGGTCACGAGCCGTGAAAAGTTTATGCCTTTTCATTCAGTAATTGCACCACTAGAAATTTTCCCAAGAGTGGTATAATAATTTGCAGATAAATATTTTTATACAGATGGGTTCAGTGTCTTGTTTAGATTTCTATAAAGTTGGAAAACAGTAGGGGGAGTTGGAGCCTCCCGAGACCATCTTCTGTAATTAAAGATCATTTTGTTCCTGAGACAGTAAGCAATATTTAGGAAACAAAACAGGATAAATCTGTCCTTTGCGTGTTTTTAGTTTTACACCATTAGGAGAAAAGGCAACTCAATCATTTGAGCCCCTTGTGCAAGGGCATGTGACTAGGTACACAGAGGAAAACCTCATACTAGGAACCAAACCATCACACAGCTGTCAGACCCCTAATGAGTATCCGGTGAGTACCACAAACCATCCTAAACATTGAGAGAACTAAGATGTAAGCCACATGTGGACAGTGTCTCCTGTAACTCCTATTCTAGTTGCTGCCTATGGGATCTTGTGTGTGTATTCCTGTGAAATGTAAACTTTCCCTGTTATCATATACATTACTTGGAAAATGCAGAAATGGAAAAAATAGAGCTGAGTATGGTGGCTCACACCTGTAATCCCAACACTCAGGAGGCTGAGGTAGGAGGATCACTGTGAGTTTGAGGCCAGCCCTGGGCTACATAGGGAATTAGAGAGGAGTGTAGCCTAGAGACATGGAACAGTGTGGCCTCTGGGTGGTGCCCTCCAGTGGAGTGTGTCCTGGTCCCAAAAGGACAAGTTCCCCCTGCCCCTTACTTGTCCACAAAGAGCATAGCCTTGTATACTTGAGACAAGAAGAGGAAGGGACCTGAGAGAAAAGAATGATGAGAGATGGGCAGAAGGAGAGGACAGGTGAGGGGAAAGCTGGTGCTGAGCTGGTGGTAGAGACTCCAAGAAGGGGCTTCAGAAAGGTGGGCACACAGTGCAGACTAGGAATCCAGGGAGCCTCCCTGGAGGAAGACCAGACCCCAGCCCACAAGAGCAGGTGGGTGAAGTAGGCAAGCATCCCCACAGCCATATTTACTCTCAGGTGGTCTACTTCTCCGCCACATACCCGTACATCATGCTTATTATCCTGTTCTTCCGTGGAGTGACACTACCTGGGGCCAAGGAGGGCATCCTCTTCTACATCACACCCAACTTCCGAAAGCTGTCAGACTCAGAGGTGAGCACACCTGCCCAGCCCACACCCACTCTGTCTCCAGCAAGTTGCTGCCCCTCCATGAGCCCTGCACAAACACACAAAACTGGACTTGTCTGGTCCACTCTGGTGACCCATGAGGACACGCCAGGGCTTGGGGCTGCAATGACTGCTGTACTTGACCATGTCTAATCCTCTACCCACAGGTGTGGCTAGATGCAGCCACCCAGATATTCTTCTCCTATGGGCTGGGCCTGGGGTCCCTGATTGCTCTAGGGAGCTACAACTCCTTCCACAACAATGTGTACAGGTATGAGAGGGCAGTTCCTGAGACCATGGAGGGCAGTTCTTCCTGGCCATGCCCTCTGTAGCCATGCCCCCTGACCATGCCTTTCTGGGGCAGGTACACTGAGGTCATGGCCCTCTGCAGCCAGAAACACAAGCCAATCTAGGGCTATGCCAATGACCACACTCCCTCTATGGCTACTCTTCCCGCCTAGACCCTCTGTGGTCTTCTTCCTCAACCCCCCAGGAGTGCTCACCTGTCTGGGGCCACATGCCTCTGTGACCACACGCCTCTTTAGTCACACACTGGAGACCATGTTTTCCATCTGTGTATTATCCATACAAGGGGAGGAGGCCATGCCCTTGCTGGACCAGGCTCTGAGGCCACTCCCTTCTGATGAGGCCACACTCTGTAGGTCCCAAGGTCACACTCCCTATCACTGTGTTTTCTGTATTCACACCTCCTGGCCTTTTCATGTTAGGCCCCTCTTGGCCCTCTCAGTTCACCCCCTCCATGCTCCACCCTACTTGGCTCTCTCTGGGCCTGCTCTTCTAGTGTTACCCAACCTGTATCCCCTCTCCCAGGGCCCTCCTTTCCTCCCCCAGAGGCAGCTGCCCACTGGCTCTACCATCCATCCTGCAGCCTCCCTCTCTGACCCCACCCACCCTCCCTCTCTACAGGGACTCCATCATTGTCTGCTGCATCAACTCCTGCACCAGCATGTTTGCTGGGTTTGTCATCTTCTCCATCGTGGGCTTCATGGCCCATGTCACCAAGAGGTCCATAGCTGATGTGGCAGCCTCAGGTCAGTACCCCTCCAGAGGAGGGTGGGGCTCACTGTGCTGTTATAGGAGGTCATGAGGAGTGTGCACAGAGGTCCAGCTGGGACATGGTCACCTCCATGATGCAAAGCTCTCCAGGATACACTTCTGTCATGGCTCCAGAAACTGTCACTAAGTGGGTTGTGCCCACTCTGCTTCTGGTCATCAGAGCCATAGGACCAGGAAGACCCCCCAGTGCTTGTTACTCCTTTCCCTTTCAGCCAGGCAAGATTCAATGAGGGACTATGTGCCTGGCAGAGACCTGAGGCTCAGGGAGGTGACATGACTCGTCCCTTGGAGAACTGTTTGGTCATGTGGGAAGGAATGCTCTCTACTCAGTCAGGTTCCTGTCTCCCCACACAAGGGAAGCTTCCTTCTCATTTCCCTGGAACTCACTAGCAGTCTTACCCTGCCCACCTCCAAAGCCACACCCAGGGAGATTATAGCATCTTTCTCCCAGAAGGCTTCCCCTGAACTCTTTGATATCCGTTCTGGGGCCCCCAGACTCCTGTATACCAGAGACAGACATCCCACATCTGCTCCTCCCTGTGCTCCCCACCCCAGGAAGGGTTCGGCAGCCCATAACAGACTGGAAGACTCAGCCTCCCCGCTCCCTGTCCTCTAACCCTCTCTGCCAGTCCACCAGTTCCAGGACCTGCCCTCCACTTTTCTCCTCCATGTGTCTCCATCCAGCCTCTCCAATTCTGTCCCTACCACTGGTCAGGTCCCCATGGTCCCTCCCTGATGGTGGCCACAGCTCCATAATGCCTGCCTGTCCATATGACGTTTACTGTTTTCTAAGAGCTGACCATGCATACATGAGGTTACCCAGAACACAAGATGTGATTAGCAAGAGGCCAGCAGTGGGCTGGGTGTGCTTTTGTCACCCAGACCTTCTTCCTCTGTCCTGCCCTCCCACAGGCCCTGGACTTGCATTCTTGGCATATCCTGAGGCAGTGACTCAGCTGCCCATCTCTCCACTCTGGGCCATCCTCTTCTTCTCCATGCTGCTCATGCTAGGCATCGACAGCCAGGTAAGCCCCCCACAATACCTGGAAGGCTCCCATCCAGGCCAGCCTGGTCCTGCTGTCTGGCCTCTTGCCTTTCCCTACAATGCCAGGCTTTGGATGGATGGGGACTAGGGTTACTCTGAGTAGCTGACTCCTGCACCCTGCCCCCCAGTTCTGTACTGTGGAGGGCTTCATCACTGCCCTGGTAGATGAGTATCCCAGGCTCCTCCGCAACCGACGGGAGCTCTTCATTGCTGCTGTGTGCATCGTGTCCTACCTGATCGGCCTCTCCAACATCACCCAGGTAGGCCCAGTTGGCATCTGGCATGTCTCAAAATTGCCCTGGGACTGGAACATCTTCTCATGCCAGAGGACATGTTCACCTCCACAACCTACCCCGCCCCCAAACCCCTAGGCCTCCTTTCTCCAGGCTAATTCTCTGCCACCTTCCTTCCTTGTACTGTGGACTACCCATACCAAGCCCTAGGCACATGGCTGTGAGATCTATAGAGTCCCAGGCTAGTAGGAGACATAGACAATGAACTACAGGACAAAGCTAGAAGGCACAGAACCCTACCCAACCATGGGCTACAGAGCCTGCTTCCTGAAGGAAGGGGTGTGGGGGCCGAACTTGTGCTCATTCACAGAAGTGAGGTCTGAGTCAAGATGGAGTCTGGCCTTTGACACTGACACTGCCCCCAGACTCCCTAGCATTGCCCTGTCCTTCTGTGAGAATTGCTGTGTGCATTCAGCCTTTTGCCAGGTAGTTGAAGACCGCAGGGGACTGTGTTTGTGGCTCCATAAACAAAAGGCTCTGAAGGCAGGAGCTTGGGCTGTGGGTCTGATTTGCCTCTGACCCAGAGTTAGTGTTTGTTCATTCATGCACCCGTTTCTAGTTGTTAAATGCCCACCGTAGGCTTGCAGAACCCTGGGATTCAGAAGTTAACATGATGGGCACTGCCCCATCTGCTCTCTTGGAAATTATGTTTAAATGGGTAAGACTTATATGCAAAATAGATGAGTTAAGACAGTAAGTGCCACAGGGGGAAAGATAGGAAGACCAAGGATGACCAACAGACATAGGAGGGACTCTGCCTTGGACAGGTATCTAGGAGAGGTTGCTCTAAGAAAGTGACAGGTGATCTGAGACTTCAATGATTTGGAAGAGCCAACCAAGTGAGGATCTTAGGCATGTGCAAAGGCCCTGTGATAGGATTGAGTTTGGGAAGCTGGAGGGATGGGAGGAGGCCAGTGTGGTAGAGGCAGAGAGTAGAAGGGCAGATGGGGGATGCAGAGCCATACCTTGCATGTTGTGTGGTTAGAGGTGATTCAAACTGATGTCTCTATTGACTGGTATGCTATACTGTTATTTGTAAGGAAGGAAAAGGGTGAAACAGGGAAGAGGCTGTTGAAGTATGCTGGTGATGGCACAGCTGCTCTCCAGCCTAACTGGAAATGGGACAGTTTCCCAACCCCCAGGCAGCAAGCAGCCTTTGGCTCACTCACAAGGCCCCCAGTGCTTCCTTTATTCTATCTCCAAGCTTTCTTGCTGCAGTGTAACCTAATTTCAGCCTCTTCAGGCTCCCTTGCACTGTGGGTGGTGAAAGTGGAGGTGAACCTGCACTTACCCTCTTTCCTCTTTTAGGGGGGCATTTATGTCTTCAAACTCTTCGACTACTACTCTGCCAGTGGCATGAGCCTGTTGTTCCTGGTTTTCTTTGAGTGCGTCTCCATTTCCTGGTTTTACGGTGAGAACCATGTCTCCTCCCTCATTGATCCATCCAGTCAGTCATTATTCATTTATTATAACTTGAACACTAAACCTGTATTTTTTTTATAACAGTTCCATCAGCTTACTTAACACAGCTGTCCCTGTGTTTAGAAAATGTGACAAGAGGGGCTGGAGAGATGGTTCAACAGTTAAGAGTTCTTGCTGCTCTTACAGAGGACCTGGGTTCCATTCCCAGCACCCACATGGCAGCTAATGATCATCTGTAACTCCAGTTCCAGGGGATCCAACACCCTCTTCTGGCCTTTGTGGGCATTTCACAGCACAGATGCATACATGCAGGCGAAACATACACATAAAATAAAAATAAATTAAAAAAAAAAGAAAATGTGACAAGAACATTTACATACATTCATTTAAAATGCAAACCAGAATATCATCATAAATTGGGGGATAAAAAGGTTTGGTTTGAAATTTTATCTGGGGTCCCACAAGATGGCTCAGTGGTAAAGGCACATGTTGCCAAGTTTGACAACATGAGTTCGGCCCTAAGATCCCATATGATGGGAGGAAGGAACCTACTCCCAGTTGTCCTCTGATCTCCACCCACGAGCCTCCCCACATAAGCGCAAAGTAAAAGAAATAAAATTTTATCTGTAAAAAGGAAACCCAAGCTATAAAAAATATTTTAAGGTCATGTGTTTAATAACAGCAAGGCTGCATTCAATTCCAAGTGTCCTAGTTTGTTTCTCCATTGCTGTGACAATATACTCTGACCACTGCAAACCTGGGGAGGAAAGGGTTTATTTATCTTACATCTCCCGGGTCACAGTTCATCAGGAAGCCCAAGGTAGGAACTCAGGGCAAGAACCTGGAGGCAGGAGCTGGAGCACAAGCCATGAAGGAACGCTGCTTACTGACTTGCTCCCCTGGCCCCTGCTCAGCCTGCTTTCTTATGCAACACAGGCCCACCTGCCCAGGAGTGGCA